CGCCCGTGGCCGCCGCGCCCGCCCCGCGTCCCGCGTCCCGCGCCCCGCGCCCAGCGCGCTCTGCAGCCTCAGCCCCGCGCCGCACGGCCCCCCGCCTCGCCCGCACCATGATCGCCGCCGCTTTCCTCGTTCTGCTGAGACCCTACAGCATCCAATGTGCTCTCTTCCTCTTGTTGCTCCTGCTGGGCACCATCGCCACCATCATCTTCTTCTGCTGCTGGCACCGCAAGCTCCAGAAAGGGAGACATCCGATGAAATCGGTCTTTTCGGGTCGTTCCAGAAGCAGAGGTGAGACGCGCCGCCGCCGGGGTTCTTCTGGGCAGAAGCGAGGTTCAAGCCTCCTCTGCCTCTCCTACCCCCTCAGTGCCCACTCCTCAAGCTACGTGCATTTATTTATTTAACGCAACCTGGCCCTTTGCCCTCACTTCCATCCTCTGGTCACCAGGTTTGGATAACCACGGAGATGTGGAGCTCCTGGAAGGGAGGATCAGACTCTTAGGGTCAGTTTGCTAGAGCCCAGGAGGTAATTGTAGCGGAGTCCTCTTATCTTTGTAGCTGAGGCACTCTTATCTTTACCCAACCTTTGTTGGAGCTTATGGATAAAAAAGTAAGGCGTGATGATTTGGGCTTCCCCCCGCCCAACTTTGCTGGAACTTCTTGCAGAGAAATCACCTTAGAGACAGATGGTCCAATACTCTCTCCGCCCCGCCCCAATATGCCCACCGAATTGGAGAGAGACACCTAGAAGGTGCTTTTCCCGAATCCAGGTAAGTGATCAGTAACTCTGCAGGCTGAGAACAAGGAGTTAATGAAGTCTCCTTTTCCCTCTTTTCTCCCCAGATGCTGCTCTGAGATCTCATCACTTTCGTTCTGAGGTAATTTATTTAGCGCACACTCTCAAGGTCAGAGTAGCTTTCTTTCCTGAGTACCAGCATTAATCATATGCGTGTTAAAAAACCAGTAGGACACCTAATGGGAAGCCTGCAGTCCCTAAGCCCAAAGTGACATGCTTCTTCTTAAGCAATTCTATGGTCAAGCCTGGGGAGCATTGTGTGTGTGTGTGTGTGTGTGTGTGTGTGTGTGTGTGTGGTGTAGTGGAGTTTGCTTTACAAGAGGTGGGAGGGGCAGCCCCTAAAAGAGCCATAGGCCTTCCTTAGAGAATTTAGTCTGGAAATGGATATCAGTTTAGCTTACAATCTGTGCTTGTGGTGGAAGCACTTCCTAGTTGCTCACGGAGGTTGATAGCTGCGTGCTTTGATAAACCACAGTGTAAACCTCTTAGGACGTTATTGCAGAAGAGTTTGAACCATATTCCAGCTTAGACTCCAGGTGACTTTCCTGCGGTCCTGGGAAGTTGCCCATGACGTCTTTTTACATGATAGTAACGTTGATGAAGATACACCAGAGTGTGTACTTAGTATCTGTTCTAGACCATCCCTCTAGAGTCAGAGACTGGACGCTACCAGTACATGAAACTGCAGGAGAACCAGCTCCAGTTAGAACAAGACACAAACTCTGCCTGACCCATTGGGTTTCCAGATGCCCACTTCAAGTTCTCTCTCTTGAGGGGAAAGCTGCACATACCCGGGCATGGAGGTTATTTTATGATGCAGCTTCTTCATTTTAGCAAAGCATTGTGGTGTCTAGGCCCCTACTGCAAGCTTGTTATTTACCTGAAGTTACTTCACATCTTATTTGACTTGTTCATGGGAGGTTTTATTGCACCCTGGATTCCTTGCTAGATGGAGATTATTTAAGCTTAACTACATTAGCATAATGTTACTATGTTGCATGCTGAGTAACTCTGTTGGATGTACACGGGAAGTGAGAGCTCCGTGCTAGTTAAGATTTATGAGAGAATAGCTTCCAACCTCAGCAGGCCTGGATCTAGCTTTGTACTAACTAGTAGGGGTGGGAGTATGGGGGTAGAGGAGGTGGGGGTGAAGGGATGTGGGGGTGTGGAAAAACAGTTGTGCCAAAACAGGGCCACGGTACCCTGTAGGGCTGTATGTGGAAATTATTTTAAAAAATTATATAAAGAATAATTAGTTCATAGGAGATATTTAGTTGTGGGTAGACATCATACATTTTGTAAAACTGAACGGAAAAGTACCTTTGATCCCCACACTTGTAGGCAGAGGCAAGGGATGTCTGTGAGTTTTGAGGCCAGCCTGGTCTACATAGTGAGTTCCAGGACAGCCAGAGCTACATTGTAAGACCCTGTCTCAGAAAAAAAAAAAAAAGAAAGAAAGAAAGAAAAGAAAGAAGAAAAAGAAAAAAGAAGAAGAGAAAGAAAAATATGTAAAAATCAAGATGTATTTGTAATGAAGTCTTTAGAAAATTAGGTCAGGTTCATGGAGTATACATGAACTAGATCTTGTGGAAAAGTCTTTGAAAAGCAAAGTAGAATTTAAATAAAAAGTAAATAGTGGGCAAGGCACAAATATTAAGCTGTAGGGAATTGACTTGGAAAAGATTCACCAGCTCTATGCAGATAAGTGATAGGGTTACTGCTGTGAGATTGCCCTGGACATTTTGGCTTAAGCATGCTGGGAATGCTGGGAGCATGTGGGACGTGGCTGTGTCTTTGGTTTTGTTTTTTTGTTTTGGCTAAAATTTTATCTTGAGCTGATTGGTTCAGAAGTCTGGGAGCAGCTGTTCAGCGCCTTATCTTGTTCTGTAACATTGCTGGTATAGTTTGAAATCCTCTTGTAGACTTGTTGCTTGCTAGCCTGTGAGCTCCTGGGGGCAGAGCCTAGGTCTCTTGTGACACCACTATCTGGCCTCATATGGAATGGGTTCTTAATAAATATTTATGGGATGAATGAAACGGTCTCTGGGTAGGCAAATAGGACTCAGATTTGACAGAAAGGGAAACTGCACATTCTTAGAACATGGCTCACAATTTAGTGGTGCTTATTTACCTTCCCCAGGCTTTTAAATCAGAGGGTTTGACGTTTGTTTCTGTTTTTGCTTTTTAAATAGGGTCTCACTGTGTAGCCCTGGCTGTCCTAGAACTCACTATGTGGATCAGGCTGGCCTCAAACTCACAGAGCACCTGTTCCAGTCTCTTGATTATCTGGCTTTTTCCAAAGCTTTAAAAAAAATTATCTTAGTGTTTGTAGTAAAATTTAAGATACTCATTGTAGCAAAAAGATTCTGTTAGATTTTCTTCTTCTTTTTTTTTACCCCAATAAAATAAAATGTATCCAGTTTAATTTGTTGGTGGGCTAATAAGCAAGGGATGCTATTTTATATGTGGAAATTCATAAACTGGGTTGTACAAGAATGTCTTATTTCGCCACTGTTTTATATTTACCACAAACAGAGCATTTCCCCTTAAGCAGAACACAGATGTATTTTTTTCTTTTTTTTTTTTTTTTTTTTGGTTTTTCGAGACAGGGTTTCTCTGTGTAGCCCTGGCTGTCCTGGAACTCACTCTGTAGACCAGGCTGGCCTCCAACTCAGAAATCCACCTGCCTCTGCCTCCCAAGTGCTGGGATTAAAGGCGTGCGCCACTACCGCCCGGCTGCACAGATGTATTTTTTTTCTCCCTCTTTGAACATTATTTCTGCCAATATGTCTCCTCAAGGAAGACCTCCACATTTACTTGGATTGAAGCATATCTAATAAGTTAGAGTGGACACAATGAATATTATTTATTCCTGCTGCATGCGGTTTTTTTTTTTTAAAGCAGCTTCTGCAAAATATTATTATCAAGGCAAATGCTTTGATTTCTGGCAAGTCCTAATCACCTCCGGCTGAGTGCTTAGTGTTTTCTGTTCCCTGTGCCAATCTTAGTAAGCGGATAATTTGCTTTCAGCGTTTCTGTCCTGATCAAATGAGAAGTATGGGGTAGGATCTGCTGACTCACTTTGAAACCTGAGCAAGCTATGGGAAAGTCCTGGAATTGACGAAGTTTGGAAAACATCTTGCTATTTCACCTGGCAGAGGACATTGTTTCTGCCACCCAAGCCCCCAGGAGGGCATCAGCCAAGACATGAGATTTGTGGGTATTCTGTCCATGGTGGTCAGATTAATACTTCCTAAGAGGAAAACTCGGCATTAAGGCTCCATAGAAGTGGTGGATCCAGCCCTACATCTGAAGAGCTGTGGTCCCTTTTCTCCTCATGTGTATATAATGGCACATTTCTTCAATCCAATCTCTTTGTAGCAGCTTGAAATTAGTAATCCTCTAAGGTGCTTTAGGTCTCTGGTCACTACCAGTGCTTTCTTTCCAGATACTTGCAAAGTGCTGAGCTTTTAAAAAAGCCTTTAAATTTTAATAACAGCATGAGAGAAAGTGAAATTATCCAGTCTAGCAGTGTCTGACCGTAGAAACTACAGACGGAAAGGTTCAATTAGGTAGACACATATGCATTGTTTGCCTACTTAAAAATTTCAAGCGTGTGTGCATGCTTGTGTGTGTGTGTGTGTGTTT